AAAACTATTGGTCCGTTTCTTTTCAAAAATCTAAACAATTCCTCATCCAACACAGACAGCAATAGCAATTATAGACCGATGTGAGTTTGAGTTTCCACAGATATATCTGCATATGCAGTATGTTACACATACATTGCTTTTTTCTCCCCAAGTATTTTCAGTGTTCAATGAACATTATTTATTGAATTGGACTATTACCGTTTTGTAATGAAGACTATACTGTAATTATAAGTAGCTACACATACATGCTTATCTCTGCGTTCACGTCATCCAGTGACAATGGCACTTCAAACTTGTACCTTATTGAAACGTTAATTGTGGAGTTGCACGCAAGGTCATGTTTAATGCCAAATTATTTTGACGCATAATTTAATCTCACTTAAAACAAACATATATGTATTTTTTTTCCTACCCATTTCTTTAGAAAGTGTCTTCAGAATTCTTTATAGCCCTAACATCATTGCCCTGAAGCCTCTCACTTTTCATGTTTTGAAGTTGTTTTATAAATCTCCAAAATAATAAAATCTTGTCTCTAGCCCACTGAAAGATTAAGACCAGGAAAAAGTAGCACAGCTTCTTCATTTTGAATAGCCAAGATTCATTGATAATCATTTCTGCAGAGAAAATAAAATAAAGGTTACAAAAGTTTACCTTCTCACAATAACTAAAATTTGGTTTTTTCCTTACAAAGGCAAGAAAAAGGGTAGCTGTACCACAGAGTGCTTAGAAAGCACTATCTTTCAAGATAGGAAATAAATTCTGGTTGACATCATTTTTGGCCAAAGCTCAAAGGCTACTGTGAAAGAACACAGCTCTTCCCAATTATTTCCCACGTAAAGTTCAAAATTAAGGCAGAGGCCCAGTTCTTTGGGATACCTCGTCCCAAATGCACTATGTAGTTACCGACATACTCAACGCATATGTCAGAGGTATTTCTTATCAGTAAAGCCACAAGTGCTTTCTAAGTAGAACTGAAGCAGAATTCTTTCCCACTCTGCTTTCCCTAACAATGATGACAATCAAAGACCAAAGTAGTTTACACAAAGCAGTGCTGATTCTACTTATGCAACACTGGGCCAGTTAAAAAAACAATGTTTTGAGGCCATGTTGCTTTGGAGGAGGACCACTGAGGGTATACAACCTGTCACCCAGAGTACTAGTTTTGTTCCAAAGAAGCGTAACGGGGTTTTAGAAACCAGGACATTTTCTTCAGGCCTCTGCCTGTACGGAAAAGTTATGTCAGTTGAATCTAAATTATTTTTTAACAGGTTCTGACTGCATAAATGCCTAAGCAAAAGCAATTTACATTAACATATTTTATTTTGCAGTTGAAGTGGGCTAGGAACGCACACCCACTCAGTTACCATGACTCAGTCAAACAAGAGTATCTCTTTAAGCTACAATAGTTGATTGCTTGCAACTGCTTGCCTCTACCTAAAAGGAGCTGAAGTCATCATGGACCAGCTAATTCAAGTAAGCTCACACTTCTGAATTTGCACTTCAACCGTTTTTTAAGTTTCCACAGTGAATTTCCCACCAATGGAATTATATCACACCTTCATTTATCTTTAAGTGTATGGTTAGACACCGCAGCACAACTTTGCGTGAGTCTAAGTGTCAGAGCACGAGCATTAAGGAACTAAAAGCATAATTCAAATGCACAGCTCTCTCAACTCCAACGTTAAAAAAGAAGTCTCTGTCTGGTGTAAAACAGACTGGCTCCACAGGAGAGAAACCAGAGTGATTCCCACACACTCTCCAGCATCACCACATCTGGCTCTTTTGCTCACCACTGCAGGCTCAGTGCAGGGTGCTCCCTGCCACCCTTCCTGACCTTGTGCCCGAAGGTGGGAGAACAGTGGCCACAGGGAGGCAAGGTAAGGTCCCCCTGCAGGACACCAAGGGGCTAGTCCTGTATCGTTCCCCAGTGCTCAGCTACACCTGGCCCTGCTCTGTCACACCCTTCAGTGAACTCTGTTTCACCTTCAGGGACATCCTTGTGCTCCAAGGAAAAGAGATCCTCCATTGCAGGCCCACAGGGTTCTCCTGCATTTTGGGCACTGGTAACGGGCTGAAGCACGTGTGCACTGCCTCAGGCTCTCCTTCTCTATTTAAAGCATGTACCTTTTTACGCGTCCATTTCCCAGTGCCTTCCCCCCACATTTCCTCCCAGGTAACCCCAAGGAAAAGGGACGGCCTCTGAACACTCCACCCTATGTCAAAGCACCAGCTTTATTAATAAGAGACATATTTAGCATTGAAAGCACTGTTAGCAGTACATAAAGAAACTTCATTCTCTCTGGCTTTCCTGTCATTCCTGACAGAGTGTGCAGAAGACAAGAGCGCAGGAAGAGAGTAAAGCTCAGGTGCAGGACTTAAAAAGTTATCTTGGAAGAACTCAGGGAGGCACTCTAGGGAAAAAGATACTATGTCCGGTAAAGCAGCTTTTGCAAAAGTAAAGCTGGTGTTGCAGAAGTGGAAGGCAGTGGACACTGGTGGGAAAATATCCATATGATGGAAGTAATTAGTTTGAGAGAGCCGGATGTCAAACTTCTAAACTACAGAGCACGTATCATACAAAGCAGAGTTGTGCAAACTTTCCAGTGTTCAACTCCAACTGCATTACAAAAATAATACTACAGCCTTGGCCTTTTCTGCTTAAATAACAAGCTGTAAGCAAGAGCCAAAGATGTCTATCATTTGGAGAACAAAAAGTAGACAGAGACCACACTCTCGCTTTACAGATAGCTACAAAGATTATATGAAGATAGGACTGTAAAGACATATCTTTAAGTCCCTGCCAACCTAATCAAGATGGTATTAACAGTGATCTCACACTCCATCTGCCTGGCTAGTAATTTATGAAAAACGTACTTCACTATTACAGGAAAAATATGTTGCACTGCTTGTGGCCACAAACCTAGTGCAGCAGCTCAGGAACTCTTGGATCAGAGGCCACGAGACCAGTTCTTGACATTTACCTGGTACTGCTCGTGAGATCTGACTCATTCATACAGGGATTTTGTTTGTTTGCCCTACTGATGACCTCAACTTCAGACAGATAAAGTAACTGGCAAAAAACTTACAGCCACTTGCAATTTGGAGTGTAATACCATACTGCTTTGCTTTTCAGATTGTGAATTCCACATAGGTAATTTCATGTGATTCTTTTTATGAGTGAAAAATCTCTCTCCTTTTGCACTGATTAGCAATCATTTCTGACTAAATTACTCCTTTTCTTGTCAGAAAACAGAAAAACTCATCTTGCCAAAACTGTATTTCTTCTATTATTATTACATACCTGTTTCTTTAACTTTCCTCGTCTAAGAATCACACCTAAGAGTCTTGCTAGATACAAATAGGAATTAAAATTTTTTTTTTTAATTTTGGGGTTTTAGGGGTGGGGTATTGGTGGTAATGGTATCATTTTGGAAAACAGTATGAAATCTTTCAGTTTCCATCAAGGCAAAGTTCATGGGCAGCATTCTAATGGCAGACTTCCAGGTATCAAAACAAAAAACCAGCCACCAATAGCAATTAATTCTCAACTGTATTGATAATAATGCATTTTTTCGCTTAGCGGAACTACTGTTTAGATCATACTTCTAGTTGCTGCAAAAAGGAAGACAGGATATGCAATGAAGAACATGGTAAAGCAGGACAAAAAGCTCTACTGTAGTTCTACAAATGTTCTTTCTCCTGCACATTGGGGAAAAAATATCTACGAAAATACTAACTGCTATAAATGAATAGACGAGGATATTCAGAGTAATAACTAAGGGATAACAGCCTATGATCTACTCAATCCTTACTCCTAAGAACAACTTAAAGGCAACACTGCTTTTTATGCTGAATAGTCACAGGTCAAAATGACCCTCTAATATCATTAGAAGGCTTTCACATTCAGTATCATTAGCAAGACTTCTATCACAATCAGAATATGCAAAGATTTCCTCTTCTGGATGTGGGACAAGACACAGAGCACAAGATTATTTTCTTACCAAATAAAATACCCAACTTACTTAGTACACAAATGCTGAGTTAATCTCAAGAACAATTTTATCAAGAAAATAGGTAAATTCAGTCTCGGCAGCATTTGTTCCATCTTCAGCAATGCAAATGAAGGGAACCCTTCCCTAAGTACACATGCTCTTGTTGCTCCAATAGCCCTCTATAAAACTAAACATTGCTGCTTATTGTCTTGCAGTACATTAACACGATTTTGAAATAAATTGGGTAAAATTTCTAGTGTTCCTTTGAAAGTTCCTAGCTATGATATCCACAACTCATACTTAGGGAGACTTTTTGTTGCCTTAGTTTTGCTCCCCGAATACTTTCGTATCTGTTCAGAGACACTCTTCTACCAATCTCACTTTGCCAGATCAAAAAACTACAGATTTGTCTTTTATAAACATTCTTGGAAAACAAGAAATCAAAATGTACTTCACTTTATCCAACAGATATACACTTTGTAGCTTTGCTAATATATGCAAATTGTCTGATTGCTTGAAATTACTGATTAACCAGGCTGGAGAGCTGATTACCTGATTATCCAACAGAAAAATAATTTAGCATGCCTTTTTGCCATTTCACAATCTAGATAATTTTCTAATTAATTTGACTTTTCAAGTGAATTCAGAGATACTACTGAAAGAGAGAAAAGAGGTCAATGATCTGAATAAAGGTGAGCTTTCCAGGAATTTTCTTCTTAAAACAATCATTTGTGAAATGTGATTGTTACTTACAGACACTTCACATGCACACACACAAAAATGAGAACTTAGACTTCCAAAAATATTCAAAAAACAACGCATGGTAAAACCTTCAACGCTTTTGTAAAGGTGTCTTGTAGAGCTAGACAAAAGATTAGTGGTGCACTAGTCTGACACATGGCATCAAATTTGCAGTGTTACCAATGAATTCTGAACTACACATGAAGCAACATGAAGCAGATATTTTGTCAATATGCTGAGAGAATAATAAATACTGGAAATACGTACTTGCCACTGAAAAGTTGTTGAGTGGATATGGCAGATCCACATCCTGGGGCTTCTCCTTATAGCCTATGAAAGAGCCATCTGTCTTTAGCAGGAAATATCTTGGCCGCCAGTTTTTTATATACTCTCCTAAAGGAGAAAAAAATAAAGTTCATTAGTATTGTAGGAAAAAAAAATGATTTTTTTTTTTAAAAAACCGAACATATTACCAGTGTCTAACATTAATTATACAAAAATCTTTTTAGATGTTCTCAATTTACAGAGAAAACTCCCTCCAAAAGAAGAGAAAATGGAATTGCAATGGTAAGCGTAAACTATACAATGATGCCTCTGGAATAAGAAGTTTTAAGTATTTTATAGTAATACTCCATAATCCTAAATTTTATCACATGATACTCTTCAAAATCCTACATTTTTACACTTAGAAAAAGTCTGAAATTTCCTGCAGGCAGAAATAAGCACAACAGATTGACTTTTAATAACAAAATGAAATTTAAACTACCACAAGGTAGAACATTTATCCTGCTGAGCCAAAGCAAAACCCATTAATTTCCTTCAAAACATACATTAAGCAAATACAAGACAGCAAGTACAAGAAGATCAGGGGTAATGGAACCTACGTAAAATATATTTAAATATACCTGAAAGCAGAAGGAATAAAAAAGAAAACACAAAAGCCAAATACCTTCTAAGACATGCGTCCACCAGTAAAGCTACCACACCACCTCCACCTTCACCCTACCCCAGACTGAGCAGAAGATTCTGCAAGCCATGAGGTAGGTATTCAGGGACAGATACAGACAGAACAGGTAAGCAAAGACACGATACCTTAACTAACGTCACTTATTTCCCATTTAAGGGTGGAAAATCTCTATAATGGCATTATAGTTTACAATGCCACACCAAAATCCCAGCAAAAATTTCATGTTTAAAGTACACTCAGTTAAGCACTGTGAGTTCAGATCTGCTGAAC